CGCTCGGCCCAGCCCGGCTAGGCCCGGGTGCAGCGGGCTTGTCCGAGCAGCGAAAGTGCTGCGCTTGCCGCCAGCCCCGCCCTACTCTGCCCCCACGCGCTGGGTCAGGAGGGGGGCCACGTGTGAACCCTTGGGGGCGGGGCTCGGACTGCCGGCCGAGGTGCCAGTAGACGGAAAGGGCTGGCTGAATCGGATGTGTGCGGAGCTAGGGTGCTGAGGGAGACCTAGTTTTGAGTACTATCCTTCTCAGTCTATTTCCTTTTGCATTCTTTGGGAGAAATCTTCGTAAGTGATCTGCTGTGGACTTCGAAGGCGATGGTCAGCTGTGGGCATAGTGAAGCCCAGGTTAGTGCAGATAGGATGGGTCGTGGGGAGCTGGCCCTCTCCTCCCTCCCACCAAACGGTGGGGTGCAATCATTCCAAGGGTGCACAATGCCCCGCCCTTGCCTGAGCAGCCGATTCAGTTCCACAGACCTTGAAGTCTGGATCTTTTCCACCACTGCCGCAGGACTCTTCCTGCCTCCTCTCTTCCCCAGCCCTCCCCCTTGAGAACCAACCCAGCCTTTCAGAGGATGCAGAGATATTTCAAGGTCTGTTTATTTCACACTCACCCATACTGCCCGGCCAGCACCCAGGCCCACCCTCCCCCTACCATGGGCTGCCTAGCGAGGGTAGAGTGCGCAGAAGGTGGGGGCGGGGAGCTCAATACTACCCGGACAGAGTTGGCATTTGCAGGGGCTGAGAGCACCGAGTGGACTCAGGGCGCCCTGGACTGGTTCAGACACCATCCCACAGGTCCCAGTCCCCATCCCCGTCCCTGAGAGGCACAGAAAGCAAAAATCACGAAGAAGCTGGCGGCAGTTGGAGCTCACCCAGGAAACTCCGCATCTCAGAGACCTTCGGTCCGCAGGATGGGGGTGGGGGAGCTGGCCAATCACCGCCAGAGCATGGGCAGCCAGGGATGTGGCTCTCGCTTCAGTTTGAGCGTGTAGCTGCGCAGGCGCGGGCAGTGCACACGGAAGGCGGTCAGCACTGAGGGTCGCACCACGCAGAAGCAGTGTATCTCCTGCAGGCCGGAGCAGCGTGCTGCCAGCTCCTGCAGCGCGGCATCTAGCTCCAATGAGGCAGAAGTGCGCACCTCAACCACACGCAGGGTTGCAGCGTAGTGGTGTGCAGCGAAATGCACCGGACCTACGGTGTCACCTGAGAGGTTGAGGCGCAGCGCAGACACAGGTATTGCTGGCTGCAGGACACGCGTCACGCAGTCAGCAGGCATCACAGGCTCAAGCTCCAGTTCCACCGCCAGCCCAGGGTGGCGGCAGCATAATGCTGCCCAGGATTCGTTGGGTACAGGGGATGTGCGTGCATCTTCAGGGCACGAGCCCTGCAGGGCCAGGAGCCTGAAAGGTACGCGACCTGGAGCGGCCAGTGCCTGGAGGACAGCGCACGACAGGCTGGCAAAATGCAGTCCAAGAGCGCGCAGGTGCGGGCAGGCATCCAGTAGCTCCAGTATGGAGCTGGGCCTCACGCTGTCCACCAATGTATGGTTGTCCAGGAAAATGCTGCAAAGCTGTGGGCAGCCATGGGCTACCTGCAGCACCAACTTGTCATCCAGTGTGAAGGGCAAGCGCCGCAGATCGAGGTGGCGCAGCTCGCAAGCCTTCCCGCAGAAAGTGTGCACAGCGTTCAGGATGTCGCGGCCTGCGTCAAACAGTGGTTTCTCACCGCGAGACTCCAGGCGCAGGCTTCGCAGCCTCGGGGCACAGTTTGCAAGCACAGTCAGCAGCTCTGTGACTGCCTGGCGACTCCTCTTCCGCGACAGCTCACATTCCAACCGTAGATGGTGAACGTAGGCCAAGTAGGTGTACAGATATGATGGCAACATGCCTTCCTGCTCACAGTCGCAACTTGTGTTAAAGTAAAGAAATTGGGGGTATCTCTGTGACCTCTACCACCCCTCAGCTTGGACTCCCACCACCACTACCCCCCCACCCCAGTGCACACATCTCTCTATATGGACCTCACTATAGCCCCAAGGCAGCCACTGATGGTGGTGGGGACTCCCATTCTATCCCTTTAGAAGACTTCAGTCAGCCATAGTTTGAAATCCTGGCATGGAGAGCCAATCATATTTTAGGTACTAGCTGGCTCTAAGGAAGTGGGGCAGGGTGAAGCCGCTGGGTTGCCAGGTTCAAATTCTGCCTCTGCCCCTCCCTTGCTGAATAACCTTTGGAAAGTGATGAAATCTCTCTGCTTCATCTCTGCAATGGAGTTAGTGCTGCCTATCTACCACAGGAGGTTTTTGTGAGGAGTAAATGAGTTAATATATACAAAACAGCTAGAATAGTTGGTACAAACACAGTAGGCAATCAATAAGTGTTAGTATTGTAGTTATTTTTTTCAATGTGGGGGAATTTAATCTCCCCAAATCTCAGCTCCACAGAGCAAGTATGAGGATGAATAGGTGGGAGGAGGCAGAGGGACCAGCTCACCTGATGTTGGTGTCACGCCACACAGCACTGCTGGTGGCAGCCGAGGCCCAGGCTCTGCAGACCTTGGCGGCACTGTCACGATCTTTGAGGGGTAGGTGGCGAAAGATGAGCACCAGCACCTCTTCTGGCAGCTGTTCTGCCATGATGCAGTTGGGGGCCTCTACCACAATTCCCACGGATAAGTCCTGGAGAGAAAGGGGTGTCCCTTGGGCGCAGGAATGGAATTCTGGAGGTTGGGTGTAAAAATGCTTGTATCTGGGAGCTGCTACATTTGTGAAGCCTAGCATAAAGTGAAAATTCCGAATACCTGTTTAAAACATTAAGGATTTCGATTTTAGCTGCGGATTTCGTTCAGTGGTTCTACTACCTGCCTCGCAACCACAAGGTCCTGAGTTGAATACCCAGCACCAAAAACAACAAGAATTTCAATTTCAAAGGGTCGGGGATATAGATCGGAGGTAGGCTCCAAGTTCGATCCTAGATCCTAACACCACCAAAAAATAACAACAACAGCAACAAAACAAATTCAGGGCAGTACCAGCAGAACTTTCGATCAAGTATTAAGCCAAGGGGTTCCTTTTCTGATTATTTTTCACTTGTTGAACAAGTTCCAGATGATTCTTTTCTTCTCCAGATGATTCTTTAGGTTTCTACTAGAGAAACTTTGACACAAACCACCAGCCAGTATAAGATGAATAGTTAATAAGGCGGGAGCAGCGAAGACTTTTGTCAGGGACCGCGAGCCAATCAGGAAACGGGAGCAGGGGTGGGGTGGGGTCTCACCTGGCTCTGCCCAGAGAGGGGAGGCACCTTCGCTGTCCCACTTCTGTCCTGGGGTTTCTCTGCCTCTGTGGGCAGAGAAAAGCTTGGGGTTCAAGGGCTGACAGCGCTGGCTTTTACAGTTCAACTCGCCCTGACCCCTAAGCAGCCCTGGGCAGGAATTCAGCACACTCACTCTGGTTCCCAGCTTTCAGAGGAAGGATGAAGCTGGTGGAAAACGTTCGACCTCTTCAAAGTTGCCAATTTTGTTTGAAGGTGCATGAGGGATTTTGCACATTTCACACCACTTCCTAGTTTATTTTCCCATATCCTAGGCTAACGGTCTCTCCTAGAATTTGGGCCATACGTATTCTGCCAGTCTTGTTTCTGGGAATCATGGCACCTGGTTTGAGTACCAGCGACTAGCAGAGATGTGATTATTAAACCGGATCCTCAGGGGCCACAAGAAAATTCTGATCCCCAGGTGGCGCCCTCTAGTTCATTCTCCTAGATCGGACGGAAGTCTGGGGGCTCTCACTCTGGGACTCTGGTCTTGTAAGAATTTCAAGACCCCAAAGTAACCACTTGTCAGCAGTTCTTCCTGCTAACTTGGGGCGTCGATATCTTACCTGCTTAACGTACCGGGAGGGCTTCGCTCAGAGGCAGGGGAGTAGCCACTGAGGATAGCGGGGCGGGAAGGAACCGCCGGCAGCCGGGAAGGCGGGGCGAAGGGCGGACGGGGCGGGCCGGGGTAGGGCATCGCCCCAGCGCTTCTGCGCACACCCGGAAGCGGAGTGGTGGAGCCGAGCCTGGCGGGCGTGGAAACCCAGGCTCTGCCGAAGTGGCCAGGTTAGTTCACAGGGAGGGAAGGTGGGCTCTCGGGTGCGGTAGGAGCAGAGGCGGATCCTCACTCCCGAGCGTGGGCATCGCGCAGTTGTCACCCGGAGCTGCCGCGGCCCGCTGGTGGCGGCGGCCTATTGAGCTGTTTCCGAAGGAAGAAAGGGTACGGTTGAAACTTGCAGGTTCCTTGTGCCGGCTAAGAGCTTTGGAGGGGCTGCTGGGCGTTGCAGATGAGGGGGTATTGGGAAGGGACTAGGTCTGTGATCGAGACCTCCTTCCCCTCCCAGTCCAGGCACGTGCGAAAACCCAGCATGAAGACGCGCTAAGTGGGAGCCCAGGAAGTTCCCCTCGCGAAATCCAGAGTGGCGCAGCTGAGTAGGGGGGCGCGTCTGGCTAGTTGCACCGAGTTGCTGGCTTCCAGTCTTTGGGCCACGCCTACGGGCCTTCCTGCTCACCCAGCCGGAGGTGAGGCTGCCTGGGGACTGTCGTGTGTTAATGGGGCGTCGTGCCTGGCTGTCCTCTGGTACTAAGGGCAGTTCTTAGTTTTGTACACAAGTGTCTACATGAATGTCTACTTGTGATCCCAGCAACCCAGCCGGGAAGCCTCAGCCCTGTCTGAGGCGGGGCAGATTCCCGGTGGGTGGGGCTCAGGGCTTCCCAAAGAAGGATTTTCTGTGGAAGGACATACAGCAATGATTCCAAAGTGGGCAATGGCAGAGAAGAGCCTTCCCTGCCCGACCTTTTCTCTACCTTGTTAACTGACCTCTCTATCTGTGGGCCCAGCTCCAGCTGCTGACTTCCCCCACTTGCCCAGAACTAGTGGTGTGATATTTCCCCGTCCAGGTTTCTGGTACCCACGGGGAAGACCTATTGGTCAGACTCTGGTCCCTTCACTCCTTACTTCCTCTCTTTGGGCTGAGACCATATCTATCAGGTCAGAACTTCCAAGTTGGGGGCGGCTAGGAAGATGTGAAAGAGGAAACACTTCCAGGGCCCTTGTTACTTTTCTGGGCTTCCTACTTGCCTTGCTTTCTTGCCTGGCTCCCTACTGCTCTTAGCCCTCCTTGTCACTTGGAGTTTCACCCCATATTGGTTGTTTTCTTTTTTTTTTGAGACAGGGTCTCACTATGTAGTTGAGACTGACCTGGAATTCACTATGTAGTCCAGGCTGGTCTCGAACTCAAAGCAATCCTCCTGCCTCAGCCTCCCGAGTGCGGGATTACAGGCATGCGCCACCACGCCTGGCTGTTTTTTTGTTCTTAAAGAAAGACAGTTTTGTTCTGCCGCCTGCCTTGCAAGCCCAAGATCCTGAGAGTTCAATCCCGGGTACCAAAACAGAATGACAATTTTTGGCTGGTGATTTAGCTCAGTGGTTCTGCTGCCTGCCTCGAAAGCGTAAGGTCCCAAGTTTGATCCCCAGTACCAAAAAAAAAAAAAGGTTTTTTTTCAAGTACAAAGGAAATATTTCTATTTTTGCATAAAGTAGAAAGTATTGCTAAATACAAAGAGAATAAAATTGCTCCATATCCCCTCCATCTTGCCCAGAGAACATCACAGTACTAGTATTCTGTTAATTTTCTGTTTTAGTTAAGTACAAAAGTATTAATACATTTTCTATGAAGAGATTGTGAGGGAAATGACTCTTCAGAGTGTGTCCCCTGGGGCCAGGGATTTTGTTCAGTGGTTCCGCTGCCTGCCTTGCAAGCACAAGGACCTGAGTTCGATCCCCGGTACCAAAAACAAAACAAAACAAAAAAAAAACCCAAAAAACAAAGTGTGTCCCCTGTATTCAGAGCCACAGTAGGGCCATCACCAGTTGTCATTTCTCTTGCCAGGGTGGGTGATACTGTCCTATGTTTAGCATATAGATTAGGAACTGGAAGCAGATCTTGAATGCGGTCTCTGCTTCAAGCTCAAGATCCTTACTTCCTCCTCAGTGATGTCCAGACTCCTGCCCCCAGCTCCTCCTGAGCCAGTGGGGGCCACTCCAACTGCACCCCTCCTGGTTCACCACTATAAATGCTAAAATCAGAAAGTAAAGGAAGATGACTGATGGTGTAGGAGGTGGGGTTTTCTGGGAAAAGAGGGGAGATGTTACTTCAAGTAAGGTGAAGAGGAGGCAGGACAGTTTCCCCAGTTGCCCCCTCATGGGGAAATAACAGGATCAGCAAATTGGTTCCCTGGCTGGGAATTTTGCCTTCTGGTCTAGGGTCAGGCAGGTTTTTTTGTTTTGTTTTGTTTTTTTCCCAGTAATGAGAATTAAACTCAGAATATGTGCTTACTGGGGAGTCATGGTGCCACTGAGCTAAATCCCAGGCCTTTGGTTTTAGTTTTTGGTTTTTGGAAACAAGGTTTTGCTATGTAGTTCAGGCTGGTCTTGAACTCACTATGTAGCCCCGGCTGACCTTGAACTCAGAGTGATCCTCCTGCCTCAGCCTCCCCGAGTGCTGGGATCACAGGTGTGCATCCCCACACCCAGCTCTTAGAGTCAGGTTTGTTTTTTTTTGTTGTTTTTTAGCAAAACATTTATTGGTACATTTTAGATACATAGAATGATAATATTCATCATAGGGAACTTATACCTGTACATGATATATCTTGCTCCTTTTTATCCCATTCCCCTCCCTTTACCCCCCTTCCCCTCATTTACAAAAGCTTTGTTTCCATTTTTTCCTTCTATTATTTTTTCCTAGTCCCTTCTTTCCTTTCCCTTTTTCTCCTCCCTTGTTCCCCTTCTCACTGGAACATTTTCTTCCCATTTCCCAATGTCTTTTATACATTTTCATCCTATTTCCACTTTGGGTTTCTCACACCAGAGAAGCAATGCAGTATTTAAACATATGTGTGATTTATTTCACTTAAGAGTATGGTCTCAAGGTGCATCCATTTACTTAGAATGTCTCAAATTTATTCTTCTTTATGGCAGAGCAATACTCCATGGTATCAAAAAACCACATCTTCTTCATTTGGGCTGTTTCCAAAATTTAGCTATTACAAACTCTTGTATGATGCTTTTAATTCTTGCAGGAAGATACCAAGCAGAGTTGAATGATTTCCACAGTGGTTGCAACAGTCTACACTCCCAACAGTGGAGAAAGGTTCCTATTACCCCACAGCTCTGCCCGCTTCTGTTATTGGCTGATTTCTTGATAATAACCATTCTTTCTGGAATGAGATGTAATCTCAGTGTTGTTTTAATTTGCATCTCTCAAATGACCTGTGATGCTGAACATTTTTTTTCACACATTTATTTACCATTTCTACTTCTTCATCTGAGAAGTGTCTGTTCGGGTTCAGGCTTTTGACAGAGATGGGGAAGATACTAGCATCAAGGGGCTCTGGCTTTATCTTGACAGGGAAGGAAGGAATCTACAATAGGAGAATTTGAGTTGGAAAAGACAAGAGCCCAATTTGAAGGGATTTATAACAAAGTGAAATGGTTTAGTTCATATAACTGAACAATCCAGCTCAGGGACAGCTAGATCCAGGGTCAGCATGGTTAGGAATGCACCTCCATCTCTTGGCTGTTTCCTTCAGTATCAGTTTCATTCTCAGCCAGGTTCTTCCCAAGCAGTGGCAAAGGAGATTTACTACTTCCTTTTCATTCATCCCCACGGGAAGGGAAATTAATGCTGTGCACCAGGCTTGATTCTTTTTCTTTTCTTTTTTTTTTTTTTTTTTTTTTTTT